GTTTTCATGTTAGATGCAGTTTTGGTTATATCAATACTACCTAGCTCTGTCAGGTTAAAACCTCATCTTGTTCTATCTAAGTATTTTTTTTTCTATATTTGATACCTCCTGGGGTCAAAACTCTATGGTGCAGCAAATGCAGTTCATGTTGGTAACAGAGATTGAATTGTATTACAGAACAGCAGACACTTGAAGTAGCAAATAAACACTTTTAAATTAAATATAATTATGTAATATTTACTTAATTAGGGTGCAATTAGATTTAATTTCTTCATGAATGTTAAGTTTAGTAAGTAGATTTTACTTAATAATAGTGAGTAAGTTGTACTTGATATTATAGCAGTAAAATTTACTTAAAATGTATTCGTGCAATTTGTTACCAAAAATGTTTTAAGTCAATCTTAATAGTTATTTTTTTCAGTGTACATAAGTGGGTATTTCTTCAGTCATGGACAATTTTTATAAAAGTGGTGGCTTTTATTAAAAGTAAGAGATTTCAGATTTCCTTTTGGTTATGAAGGCCACACTAAAACTATTTTGAAAACATTATACAGTGACTTTTTGAAATGTATTTTATGTAGAGATTTGTATTTTTGTACCCTTGTCCAAGATCAAAAAATTACTCTTAAAATATAAAAATCCATAACAAAAGCAACAATTATCATACTATTTAATAAATAAATACATTCTAAATTAATATTTCATAAATTAATAAATTTGAAATTATATGTATCAATTGTTTAACATCTTGAAAATGAAAGCTATTTCTCATAAATTTCTCATAATAAAATGAATAAAAACCTTATAGACATATTTAAAAAAATACACATCAAAATTCCTAAAACTTCAAAATTTAAATGAAAACAGAAAATACAAAAATAAAAACTGAATCTAAATAATAATAAAAAAACGAATAGTATCTCAACGATACTAAAATAACATTGTTCCATATGACTCATGTGCAAACTTCCGAAAGAAAATCCACCATAAAATTAAATTCCTACATTTTAAGACTATCATAAATCTTAAAGAAAGAAAGAAACCATTTCAATATTTATTTTGTGAAATTATTTCCTTTTTAAGTAATAATTTCAACCATGACCAAATATTTTTTTTTATTTAATATGAGAAATCTCTTTAGTCATGTTTGAAATGTTTAAAAATTTATAGAAATAATTTCACACAATAAATATTGAAATGGTTTCGTGCAGTTATTGTTGGGCTGATACAAAACCGTTGTTATGGTTGCGAGCCCCTCTTAAGCCTGGGCCGGGGACAAGCGATAAATTATCCCCCTTTACCATCCCCTCTTAAAGGTCCAGTTGTCCCCCTATATCTTGTTAGTTTAAATCTTTCAACTAGTGAGAGTATGAAAGTGTTTTAAGGGAATTACAGAGCCAAATGCGCCCACAGTTGAACAAATACCCAAGTGTATGCGCTCATATTTCTTGTTAATTTCTCCTTGTAAAGACACTTGGTACCTACTTTCTCTCTGTCTCTCTCTCTCTTTCATTTTCTTCTCGATGCCATTATAACCTCCATAATCCACTCTGTTGTTTCTAATTTATTATTCCTCATCGATTTTCATCACAGCTTTCACAACCCCCCCATTAATCACCCAGAGCTCTTCCACTCACACACACGCTGGCAAATGTTACACGGCTCAATCGATTTACTGCCCTGAGCATTGCAGAGACTTGTTTCTCACTGTTTTTGGCGGTACAGTAACACACTCCATTGCAAGCTCTTAATTTTACATGTGGCGTGTGAAATAAAAGCTATTTTTCTCATTATAAAAATCTCTGAGTTACATCTATGGATGTCGGTTTCATAAATGGCACATTTAATGTGACATGAAACTGTGACGTTACATTCCACCAACTTCATCTAAGAAATGGCCTTGAGATTTGGAAAGTTAAGACTTTTATCTATGCTTCAAAAGAGGTAAAAAGCCATAGTGGATAGTTTGCATGTTCAGTTCCTCTTGGAAGGCTCTGCACTTTTCGATTTTCATTCTTTAGTATGAGAATTCTAAATCATATCTAGACTGCTCTTCCTGTCTTTCACCGTCAAGATAAATTGATTATTGCTGGATAATCGTTAGATCTCTATATGGAGATGTTTCAAAGCACTCATCATTCAATGAGAATGACTTTGAATGGCTTAGACAGTGATGTTATGTAAGCATGTCTTTAAGGAATAGTTCTCTCAAAAATGACACTTCTGCCATTATTTATTAACCCACATATGATTTCAAAACTTTATGATTGTCACGATAAGGGGTTTTGTCTTGGTTCTCTCTGGACTCCATTTCCCATAAACCCCTGCCTAGGAACTCATTATCGCACCACACCTGTTTCCTATCAGGGACACTATAAAGGTTGCACACATCCACACACACATCGCTGATTATTGCTTAGCCTGTTAGCTTGTTACCCTGTCTAGTCTTGCCTTGCCTTGTTTTGCCTATGTATTTTGACCTTGGATTGCTTATTGGATTACTCTTTTTGCCTGCTCTTGGATTATACCTGTTTGCCCCTATTTTGACCCATGCCTGTTTATGACCACGGTTTTGTCTATTAAAAGCCTCATTATGCACGTAACCGAATAATCAGCCAAAACCGGATCCAGCAGCTTTATTGAGCACCAGACCAGGTATGGAGCCAGCCAATGGTTCATTCAACCTCGTAAGTGTAATCTGCTCCATTTTTCAAATTGGCAGACCCATTGAACTTTATGTGGAGAAATTCCTTCTGTATAGCCACCTTATGCCTGGGGATGAGGATTTCGTAAAAGACTGTTTCTGGAGTGGTCTTGATGCTAATATTAGCTTAAATTTACCAGAGGAAGACCCCAGCTGGGCCCTGGTACAGTTTATTGGCTTTGTTTTGCAGTTTTGTGGATCTTCCTTTACAGTTGGGGAGGTTGAGGAGGTCACTACTCTGAGGTTTCCAGCCCCTTTCCATTCTGTGGTCCCTGTACCAGAGCCTCGTCACAAAATGCCTGCCAGCCCAGAAACTTTTTGTAAGATGGCTACTAGCCCAAAGACTACCCCCGCCACAACTGCCATCCCTGCGTCTAGTCAAGTCACAGCCGTTCTTCCTGAATCCAGTCAAGTCGCGGCTGATCGTTCAGAGTCTCGTCACGTCTCAGTTGATCATTCAGAGTCTTCTCATGCCGGGTCGACCATGCCCATTGCCACAAGGCCAGTCCCAAGGTATCCGAGACTGGCATCCAGTGTGTCAGATCCACCGTTGGTTTCGGCTAGAGCAGCGGGGATTCCAAGGGCCTCAGCACGGATTATTCCAGAGACTGTTCCCCTACACTCAGTGCTCCCTGTTATGGGGATCACTATCCTTTGCGTTTGGGCAACTCACTGCTCAATTACTCCTCCTGAGATTGTTTCAGCCCCTGAATCCGTTCACGAGACCGCAACAGTTCCTGATCTCACTCCAGAAGCTCCAGAGGTGGCGGCACTCCTATCACGCCCATGGAGGCCGTATGTGAACTCTCTGCCTGTCCTGTCACGGCTATGGAGGCGGTATATGAACTCTCTGATTGTCCCGTCACGGCCAGGGAGGCTGTTTCAGAACTCTTTGCCTGCTCTACTACAGGGACAGCCAGCCTCCAGCTACACCAGGATTAGAGGATCCCAGATCTCCGTCCTTCAAGACCTGGACTCCACTTCGGTCCGTCGACCCTTTGGTGTCGCCTTGGCTCAAAGCTCCCTCATCTCCACTGTGACTGTCAGTCCACCGGCTCCGCCAGGCTTCCTCGTTCCTCTGTCTCCACCTTGGTCATTCGTCAACCTGCCCTCGCCTCAGGACTACACTCCTCTGGCTTCGCCTCGTCCCTCCACCCCTCCGGTTCCATTGGGCTCCTTTCTCCCTCCGGCTCCACCTTGATCCTCGGTCGCTCTGGCTCCACCGCAGCCTTCTGGTACCCAACCCCTCCAGCTCCACCTCAGTCCTCTGTCCCTCCGGCTCCGCCGCGGCCTTCCGGATCCCCACCTGCGCCTCGGTCGCCAGAGCTGTCGGCTCCACCATGGCCCTCCGATCCCTCAGTGTCACCCTGGCTCTTCGGCTCTCCGTCTTCTCCTTGGGCCCTTTGTCCACTGGCTCCATTTCTGTCAGTCGGACCCCTGAGACCTCCTGTTTCACTCTCCTCATGGTTCCTCCCTCAATCAACTCCACCGTGGACTAAGAGTTGTTCTCGTAATTCTGTTTGGAGCATCTGGAAACCGCTCTCAGTGGGGGGGCTCTGTCACGATAAGGGGTTTTGTCTTGGT